GACCATGTCGTTTGCTTTTCGTTATTTGTAAAACCATTGCAATGTCTGTTTTCGCTACACTTTTGTGATGGTCGGCCATTTGTGATGCCCTACATTTCATAAAGCCTGATCTGATCTTCGTTTCTACGCCATCATCGAGAAGTACGTCATTTTGTCAAAGGCAGGATCAACAGCTGTGTTAGAATTGTGTGCAATCTCTTCTTTCCTTTCAACAGAGAAGTACTGATTTATTAATCTCAGAAGAAAGAAAAGCGAATGACCCGACTGGGGTTCAAACTCGAGTTCTCTCGGTTTTGAGTCCAATGTTATAATGATTGAGAAACCCCTCTGACCGAACAAGTAAAGCTTTCGTCGCTCCACAGCTAAAAATCGCTATGATCGCAATGTAGCCCGGTACTTGAAGAAATAACGCAGTGTCCAATGTATACACGTGTACAAACGAAACCAATACTACTTAAAACAAAATAGAAAATTCTAATTATGAAAGCAGTCCAAACACCATTTTATAACCCCGTAATAAGCAAAATAATAATTCTGCTATTGTAGAATTATAACATTTACCTTATTTAAGATACTGTCTAAATAACGCAATTTATGTCTCGATTTAAACAGCGCTCAAGCAGTAAAATTTTCAATTTTAATTAATAACGGATTTTTGAAAATTTGTTGATTTTTCCTTCGATCTAAAGGATTCATCTTTTTGACTGTCGTTACTTACGTCCACTTACAAACATTCAATTCAGTCAGTGGCTGATGACAATAGCTGCTCTAACGTCAGTCAACTGATATATAATAGATTTCATTAACTTGATCAATTTTTAAACTAATTTAAAATTTAAATTTACGTTCACACTTGTGATGCGTCTTAAGTCAGCTATTCGGTGGGTGAAGTGGAATTGCAGCCGTTATGCGCGAGCATCAGACACAATAGCCGTTAGCCGTATATCTCGTATCTTCTGGTAGGGTTACACCAGAGAAAGTACTGCCGTTCATACCGTTCACATGTCTCCAGCTTGCTACAAGTGTTTTAGCTGGTAGCAGCGAAGCACAGAGGGTTGAATTCCTAGATCAACGGAATGAAAGGATAATAAAATAAAATTTATGCAGTGCGTCGGGTTTGAATACGGTACTCTACAAAGCAGCGCCTTATGCCGGTTCTCTCTCCCCGTGATCAACCATGCTTTCTAATTATCTCTGCTAGAAAGTTGGTTCTTTGATGCTCTTGTTCAAACACTAAACTACCTAATTCGCAAGGGCAAGAAACAAACCACCAAGCCAACATAACCACAGATCTGTAGCTGTTCATACCTACCCGACAAACCAGATGAGTCACAATCACGACTAGCGTTGAACGTATGTAATAAAGCACCACCAGCAAAAATAACTCTGTCCAAATATCCGGTAAAAACACGTTCATCGCAGGCCAGCTACTAAAAAAATATATATAACGATATGCCAGCAACAACTTCACGACCAG